AATGCTAATGTTGTTTTCCTCGAACATCAACCTGCACTCTGATTTGCTGGTATGCCCACAAGCACTTCACACCACATTTTCGGCGTATAAAAAATTACTCTCAATATGTAGGAGAAGCAAGGACAATTGATGACAACAATAGGAGCATTGTTTTGGAGGAAGTTTGGCTGGACACTTTGGTTTGCTGGTATACCCACAAGCTCTTCACATCACATTTTCGGCGTATGGAAACTTACTCTCAATATGTAAGAGAAGCAAGGACAATTAATGACAACAAGAAGAGCATTGTTTTGGAGGAAGTTTGGCTGGATATGCAGCAAAAAGTCTTGCATTTTGATTGCTCCATATTGAAGCCAAACAAGGAAACAGTTATACCTGACAGCTGTCCCAACTCCGGTGCCTTGGGCCAGAAAAGAACTCAGCGACATGGGTACGCAACAGCTTTATTCCAAGCAAGCGAGTGAAAAAGTTACAACGGCTCCGCTCTATTTAAAGGGTATTTTCTGACTTTGATCGAGGCGTTAGGTGAACACCGTCAACATCCATTATGCTAGTGTAAACATCTGAATGCTGATCGAACTCTGTGGTGCTCCTGTGGCCTGCCTGAACACCCATCGACTTCCGCTGAATTGATTGAATGACTGACTGGTTTAGATGTACGTAGGCCTTCTTACTGATATTCTGACGGGGTTCAAGTGCCTCAGTAGGTGTCGGACATACTGGGGTCACTTCCAGGAGTCTGATTTTCCTTCTAGTACCAAAATGCCATCTTTTCAGCGGTAACCGATTGACCATTCATCCGTCAATCGGCTGTTTGGAGCGTGCACATCTGGACTACTTATGAACGCCAGCATAGAATTTTGCAGAAGATATAAATGATTTGTGGTTTGTTGCCTCCTCGGCCTGTTTGTGCATCTGGTCTATCCAATCAGGTCATAATCAATGGGCAAATTTCATGGTACTCCCCCGTGAAAATCGACTCAAAATCTAGTAGTACATATCCCCTAAAATGCTAGGTCCATTGTTTGGCTTTGTACGCATACCAAAGGTATCAAGGTATTGGTTCAGTTAGTTAAAGTTAAGTCGTGTTTTCCATCGATTGGTAGGGATTGTGCACTGCAAGCTGAAGCAATCACATGCCAAATATATTGCATAATTACCATATTACTACATGGCCTGCGCTTACGTTGATGTTTGTTATTCGATCTTGTTTATAAGTGTACTTGAGGCTTTGACCGTGAAAGTATGCTTCCGCTAGGTAGACACACACTTCATGGCCTCGTAAGCTTGGCTTCACAACACAGGCTGAAAGGAGGCTCCAAGTAGCCAACCAGACATTCGTGTACTATGATATGGCTTGGTTTAGGGTTAGTCCGTACTTTGTTATAAATTTTCAAAGAACTCCAGAACAGCTCTACTAGTTGTGACGTGTAGTTGTTGGTTTGTAAAAGTGCGACTGCTATATGCTGCCCATGGTACTTTAACAATCTCTGTCGCTGTTTTGTCCAGCGACATACCGATCAAATATTCCACAACGAGCTGGTTGTTTGAATCTAATAAGAGAAACCTTTCTTTAGAAGTGATGGTCTTATTAAATTTATAACGCACGCCGAAACTTTTTGGGCAAAATAGTGTGACGCATTAGAGCTAGAGTGTTGAATCGCGGTAGTGTACGTACACTGCTTAATCATCAAGTCAGAATAATGAATAACAAGCACAAAACTGCTTTTTAGTACTGCAACTAGATCATCGTTTGATGGTCTAGTGGATATCTTAGAAGGCTTTTGTGTTAACGAAACCATCGGGCAGGTTGTAGCCTAAAAATCCAAGGGTTCCGTGAATGTTTAAAAAAATGTAATTTTCCATTCTGGCCTGGTACTATGAAGTTGCCATGTTTTACAATAGCTAGAATAGGTCGCGCTTCTTACATTAAGGCTCAACATTGCTATTTTTCTAACCCTCGAATTTTCACTCGAACGAGAATTCGAAATTCATTTCTCTGGTTATTCACAAACAAAGATCGTCATGAACGAAATTCACTTTGCATCAAATATTTATGCATCCTTGAATAGTCGAGCTCAAACCAGACAAATTTTTGTAGCACACGTATTCCGATTTCTGAGAGGCATCAAACCAATCAACTCCAGAGAGCTTCAAAAATTCCGCTTGCAAAACCATCAAATTTTACGCCGTTAACAGGAAACAATACTTCCGACTTGGAAAGTTCCACTCGCAAGGCCAGTAACGCGGTTTGATTGGACAAGAATTGGATTTGTGCCAAGTCTGTCGGATGAGATTGTTTATAGAACAAATCCTCAAACATGGCTGCAGCTTTTGTTATTGGATGACCAGTATGTTTCGGAGAAAATGTAAGCGGATGACCCCTGATTCCTGTACATGAAATCAGTAGGTGCACGTGCCCTACCGTAACGGCGTTCACATGCTAATGCTACACGAATTATCCTGTGCCGACTTGTTGAGCGACGATTTTAGTGGAACTGCCATTTGGAGTGGTGTGCAAGCCAAGTAGCACAACGTTATTCCTATCCAGAGAACCTAATCGAAAAGGGTATTCTCGAAAGAGATGGGAGAATTGGTAATTACTTGGACAAACTGGTGGCCCGTTTCCGCTCCAGGATATGTGAGCAACTATCAAGTACAGACAGTTGGGCAAACTAACAGAGTGGAAAGGTAACAATGGGTATTGGTGCAGTCTCGAACAATCTTGCATCATCTGCCGGAAATTCGAGGCAGTGGATTGATTTCTAGTAAAAACGATGATAGCTACCTAGATCTTAACGCGATATCCACAATTAACTATATCTTTCGTTGACTGCTCAATGGAATATCCTTACCTGATCAACATGCAAGCGCCCTTATTACGCACCATGCAATTTGCAGAAGCACAAATAGTCTGGTTTGCACATCTGCAAGACAGCGGTTCNCGCATCTGCAAGAGAGCGGTTCGAAGTTTTGCCAAAGAATAGTAGGGATCTCTTGAAAATTATTGGAATATCTTATATCGCCATCAGTCTTTAAGTAGTTGAGAGGCACGATACTCCAACAAGATGTGCAGCGCGTTCAATCGAAAAGCCATCATTAGAAGAACCGGTGAATATAAGACTCGCCGGTGCCGTTTCGTTATTCATAGGAAAGTTCTGCTGTGTTTCATCAAGGTGAAACCTAGTAACACTGCTGTTAAGCCACTGCGTTACCAAACACTTAAACATTCAAGCATCGGTCAGATCCTTGTTTGGTTTGATAACCCGTAGATGTGGGAGATGCTGAAGAAGGATGATTGTAAACAAAGATGATTTTTGTAGAGATCGTCTTCACTGAAAACAATCA